ACCTCCCGGTGCTCCCTGGAGCTGCCCCCGCCTGCCCAGCTGCCCGCCTGGCTCACACACTCGGGCACCACCAGCCGCTCCGCACCCGACATGGCGAAGAACCGGCACAGTTTATAGAGGGAGACGAGCAGGATGAGCACCATCGGCATCTCCTAGCACAGCATCCTTGGTCACCCACCCCCCGGGAGAAGCCGGGCAGGGCCGCCACGCTCCTTGGGGGGACCTGAGGTGGCCGGAGGGGAGGCACAGGAGCGGGGACGGAGCTGGCCCGGGGTCGAGCCGCAGGGCTGGGCTGCTGGCTCCCTCTCCCCTCCCTGCCCTGCCGGGATGCGGAGCTGGAAGCGGTGGCAGGAGCCGCCTTCCCAAAGCCAGGCTCAGCATCTCAGGTCCTCAGGGGCTGATGTCACCCTGCGCAGGCGCCGCCTCTCCAAGGAGGGGCTCATCTCTGGGCAGCAGCATCCCCCTCCTCGCTGCAGATGCTCTGGCATCCCCCCAGACCCCTCCTTCCACAGCCTGCCCAGCCTGAGCTGGGGCTTGTCCCGCTGTCCCCGTGGTTCATGTCCCCCCCTTGCTCAAGCTGCTGCTGTGGAGCCTGTGGTCACCTCCACGGCAGGCAGGGACCCCCACGCTGCTTTTGCAGCAGGTCTCTCCGGGACCCTCTGTGACCGGTGAGGGGGGCAGAGGGTGGAAGTAAAGGGCCAGGCACCGTGGTGGCCATGGCCGTGGTCACGGTGAGGTTGTGGCCATCCTGGCACTGCATTTTGAACCCGTTTGGTATCAGTGCAGGGGGGGAAACAGCTCTCTTTGCGTGGCGGAAATTCAGAGCAGCTCTTCTGGGTGGGCTCAGGATTTGCATGATAAAAGAAAGAGCAGAGGCAGCCTGGGCCCCTTTTATTTTCTTTTTTCCAGGCCAGACGTGCTCAGGGCAGAAATGCTTTGGACACTTCTCGCCTGTGTTGGGAGGAGCAGCTTAAATCCTTGGCTCCAAAACCAGGTTGTTGCCAGCTCAGACTGAGACTTAAATTCAAGTTGATGTTTTGATGCGACAGAGTCGCTTTTAATCCTCTCTGAATCCACTACGCAGGGACAGACAGAGGAAAGGGACATTAGCTCACAGCGAAGGACAGTAAACAAGGCGACCCGAGCGGCACAGTACTGCAGGAGAGGCTCAGCAGAGAACCAGTAAGGATTTTCCCGGTAAATGATTATTAAGCAGGGGTAAATGCAGCACAGCAGAGGGGTTTGCTACCTCGGAGGAGGCTGCTGCCTGGGGGGGGGCAGAATTCAAACCATTCCCTTAGGCTTGTCCTGACTAGCCCAGAGAGCTTTGCCTTGCTTTGCTTTTAGTTTTGCTTTGCTTTGCTTTGCTTTTTGAGAGGGATTTCCAGCACCAGCAGCCTGGGCTCCGGGAGTGGCGGGGACTCCCAGCCTTGCCCTGGGGGATCAGCCCCGCCGCCTGAGCTCTCCTCGCTGGCTCTGCTCAGTCCTTTGCTGCAAGGGCTCCCCAGGGCCCCATTACCCAAACCAGCCCCTCTCCTGGGGTCTCCTCCTCCCATGCTTTGAGCACGGCAGCCAGGGAAGGGCTCATCGAGCCTCGGTGGGTCTGCGGGTTGCCGGTGGGCGGGAGCCTGGAGCAGCAGGAGGGAGCTTTGTCTCAGCCGATCAGCAAAAGCAGCTCAGACACTGTCCAGCCCTTCTCCCTCGAGCCTTCCCAAAAGCCTGTGCCCTCTCAGGGTGCTTGTCCCCCAGGCTCCGTTCAACAGGGATGGGATGAAGCTTTAGTGCAACACTGGGCTGGTGCTTGCGCCCGGGGATGACGCCAGCCCCGGCATAGCTGAGGCCAGGGAGCGAGGAGGGGGTTGACGGGGCTGCAGGAGCAGTCCTGCCCCAACAGCCCATGTCTGGTGACTGCCCTCATCTCACCAGGGCTTTCCAGGTGGAAATGCCTTTCTCAACACCAAATGAAAGCTCTTTCTAGCAAGGGTGGGAGCAGCCGAGGCCAGGAACTGCCTGTGTCCGAGCTGGCAGAAGCGAGGCCCCTGGAGAAGCGGGCACCCTGCTCAGCTTCTTCTCTCCCCAAATCTTCCATCACTTATTAAAGCGCAGAGCTGCACTGCTCCTGCCCCAGGGCTGGGACGGACTCCACGGAGCTCCTGCCCCAGCAGTGCCGCGGCAGCGGAGGCAGCCGGAGGCAGTATCTCTGTAGCCTCGTGTGCATTTGCTCCTTGCCCCTGATTAAATAAACATCCCAGAGTTATCAGGAGCTGCTGAAAGAGCTGAGTCAACATTAATTAGTAACCGAAAAGGTTGGTTCGAAAGGGAATGATGGGAGCAAAATACACAGGCTTTTGTTTGCCTACTGCAGTGAAAGTGCAGAGGGTTCCCGCTTTTCCTCCCTCCCTCCCGGCCGCTCACCTCTGGCCCCTGGTCCCTGTGCCCAGAGGTGGCACCTGCCCCATCCCGAGCTGCTGTGCCTTGGGACTCCCCAGGTCTGCTCCCAGCCTTGCTGACGTTGAGAAAGCTGAAATCCCAAGAGCAAGTCCTTCAAAAGTGACATTTTGGCCAAGCGTAAGCCCAGGGCTTTTCCCTTTGCCCTCTGAGCACCGCTCCCTTGTCCCCTCTCATTAGGGTTTTTGTCTTGCAGAGACCAGACTGGGAAACGGCCTCCCCTTGAGACGGAGGCTGGGAGCTTTCATACCATGAGGTTCGCTATGAAATAAGTGTGGCAGGACCTCAAAACTGGTTCCTGGCTCTGGCCTGCTGTCCCCCCTCGCTCTCTGAACCAGTGCCCAACCCGCAACGCCAGCGGCTCTCGGAGCTGTCTGCACACGTGGGGAGCCCTGTTCCCCCAAAATCCACCCAGCTCGGCGTGTGCTGCGCGGGATGCGGGGTAGGAGAGTGTCTCTGCCCCTTTCCCCTCTGCTCTGACCTTGGCCTGTTTATTTTCTCCTGCTGGGGCAGGCTGAGCAAACAGTGGATGCCGGGGCCCCGGCCGCAGGCGGGCCCCAGCCCGCAC